CCAGGATCCGACCCCTTGATGGCGTCTCTAGTACTCCCACATCTCCTCACTCATACATTAACTAACTTGATCGTCAGAATACATGCAGCCATCTCCCCCACCCTAGAGAAGTTTCTCCAAGTGTGTAGGACCAAAGACTTATTTAAACGAGAGAGGACCCAAAATCTAGTGGCCACATCATCCACACATTTTTTGAGGCCAAAATCTATCATACTATGTTAAGAAGCCAACAGCTCACGAAGTGGAAATTACTAATAAAATGATAGTTGTACCCCTGGTAGTACGGGTCCCATGTGGCCCTGTACACATACACATAGCAGGGTTCATTATAATATCAAAATTTTGATCAAAATAATCAACGCTGCAATGATTTCATTGTAAGAAAAACTTGCACGGCCTCAATGGCTGATGATCGATCTAAATCTAAATTTAAATCACATATATTAAGATATTTTTACAGGGAAGGGAGGGGTATTTTAACTGTAAATAGCCAGAAGAATGATAGCAGACTTCAAGAATTTCATCCGGCGACCAAAACTAAAAGTGACATTTCCGAAAACCACGTTGATCTGTTCCCAGCGAAAGCAACTACAAATTCTAAGCCACGAGATTAATTTGTGCTGCAAACTGATCGGCTCCAGTTTGTTTTTGTAGTCTTGTACTTCTAAGAATAGACGCCTGTGAAAATAATGACAAATAATGCATCATTAATGTTACTTGTTGGGAATAAATGAAATATATGTTAACATAAATAGTAACTTTTCGAGAGTACAGCCTTATAGTTCAGTTCAATGGACATTAGAAAAAAGGTCACTCGGTTATCCAACAAGGTAGCTTACGAAGTAAAGATCATGCTTTTATCAAATCATCTTATCATGATCGGTTAAGGACTTTTGTTTCCACAACCAAAGTCAAGGGTTCAAGAATTGGTACCTCCCCTCGAAAAAGAAAGTAGATAAATAACATAAGATTTTTAATTTATCATAGTGAACAGATGTGATACCTTAGGCCGCCCCATAGAACTTCCAAAATAACCAATTCCGAAAGACGAGGAAGTATAGGCAGCTGCGATCTCAATAGCTTCCAGCTTAGTTGAACTACCAGGAACCTAGTGCAACCAATGAGACAATTAATTGAGAAGTTTTATAGAGGAAAGAACTTGATATCTATACTTTAGGTCAGTACCACACCCTTTCAGGAGCTTCAGCTTGCACTAGTTCCAGCACTTCTCTCAGTGTTACGCCGGTCATTTTCAAGAACAGAGAGCAAAACTTTTGCACAAGCTGAGGCTGGACCAGCCTGAGACCTATAACATAGATATGTACCAAGGTTCATATTGTACATAAATAGCAAGATATATCGAAAAGTTCAGGTTTACAGGTTCTTGAGGACTGCAGTCTCCACACATCTAAAGGATAAAAATAACTGCTTGAAAAGAATCAATTGCAGGACGTACAGTGATGATGATACACAGCATTCACGAGCCGTGAATCCTTTCATTAGGTACTCTCCAGCACCACTCAAGGAACAACCAACAATAAAAGGAGTTCCAAATGGTCCTTTTGAGGATGCCCAACAACCAGAACCATACATTGCAGCTAATCCAACACGTCCACTTACCTGTAAGAATAGTTAAGGTTTGTTTGAAATGTCAACACATTTCCTAATCCCAATCCATGATTTTAAATAATCTTGACAGCAAGTTGCTCTTCAGTCTTGAGCAGTATTCTAAGTCAAAAAGAAGATAATGGAGTCAAAACATTCTGAATAAAATTACAGTTTCTTTACTATAATTCGTCACAGGAAAAGAAACCAGAGCTTGCATCAAAGGACAAATCATTTTGGCAGTGCATGCTATAAGAGCAAAAATAACTAATGGACACCTAGCTGGAAATGAAAATTAAACATTTGTGGGCACTAGAGAAAGAAGATGCATCGCTATAAAATATGAAGCATTATATGATTACCGTTCAAAGGACACATTCCAATTACTGACATCAACATAAAGAGAACAGATAAGAGGATATTTAGCATCAAATTTGAAACTCAAGCATGGGTTAGCCTTGGGCCAGGGAAACTGCTGCCAATTTGGACTGCCTATGCCAATTACTTTTTATTCTTCTCTCCATTTTGATAGGTAAAAGAGAGATCCTGTCAATCACTTGCCCATATCAAAAGTCAGATTGTGTTCTTTAATCTGACTCCAGTTATACGATAAGCTAAGATGAGCATCAACCCTCTGGTCTAAGTGGCGTTCAAAGTTGCAAACAC